TGTGTTTGTGTGTGTGTCTGTTTGTGTCTGTGTCTGTGTCTGTGTCTGTGTATATGTGTGTGTGTGTGTGTCTGTGTCTGTGTCTGTGTCTGTGTCCGTGTCTGTGTCTGTGTCTGTGTGTGTCTGTGTGTGTGTGCGCGTGTGTGTGTGTGTGTGTGCGTGTGTGTGTGTGTGTGTGTGTGTGTGTTCGCGTGCATGTGTCTCTGTGTCCGTGTCCATGTGTCCGTGTGTCTGTGTATATGTGTGTGGTGCACGTATGCTATGTCTATCGTACGGTATGTTCTGTGATGTTGTTATCGCTGTGGTATGCTCTGGTATGGAACGGCACGGCATGGCATGGCACAATGTGTTGTGTCATTTCGTGTTGGAATTGTGATACGGTTTGCTTTGTTATACGTTGTTATGTTTTGTTATGGTATGTTGCATTATGTTGTGCAGTGCTGTGCGTGCATGCGATCGTGGGCGGCTGTGTGGGTGCGTGGTGGATGTATGCTATGCGGGTGGTACGGTACGTTATATGTGATGTAACTTGTGCTATGGTGTGGTCTGGTCTGGTCTAGCGTGGTATGGTACGGTAAGGTGTGGCATGGCATGGCATGGCATGGCATGGCATGGCATGGCATGGCATGGCATGGCATGGCATGGCATGGCATGGCATGGCATGGCATGGCATGGCATGGCATGGCATGGCATGGCACGGTATGATGTTTTATGTCATGATGTTGTGGTATAGTGTGTTTGTTATACGGCGTTATTGTGTGACAGAACTGCTACGGCGTGTCGTGTTATATTATGCTGTCCTATGTTATGTTTCGTTATGCTATGTCACGTATATATATATATATATATCTGTGTGTGTGTGTCGGCATCTGCATGTTCATGTGCCCGTGTGTTTGTATGTGTATGTGCATATTGACATGTGTATTGAATGTGCGCATGAATAAGTGTGTGTGTGTGCATAGGTATGTACATGCGTATACACAATCTTTGCGGATGTTCACATAAAAAATGCATGTATGTACACATGTGCACTTATACATAAACATGTTTGTGGATACGTGGATGTGTGTAGATGCGTGAATGCACATATGTACATATATGTGTACATTATATATAATATAACATTGTAGATATATAGATAGATATGGTGGCGTGTGTACATGTGTATGTATATATATATATATATGAGTGTCTGAGCGTGTGTGTGTGTGTGTGTGCGTGTGTATGTATATATATATATATATCTACATGCATGTCTGTGAATGTGTATAGATAGATATAAACACGCGCATATGTATAGAGTTAGATGTGGACACAGATATTCAGATTAGTGTCTGTGTGTATCGATGTATATACGTGCGCATGTGTGTACCTGTATTTGTGTCCCCTCGCTTTTATACATTCACCAGTGCATAGGTGATTTTGCTTTGCCCAAACTTTTTCCACTGTGATACAAACTCGTACAGGTTTGCGTGCCTGTTGTTTGTGTTTGTTCGTCCACTGTTTTCAGCTAGTGTACCGACAGGGAACTGTCGACTGAATGGTTTGTGCAGGTGTTACATCCCAAGCCCAGAATCCTCACAGGAACCGTATAGGAACCTTCACAATCACCCTTACAGTCTTACAGTTTAGCCCAAACCCAGAACCCCCTTGCGACGTCGGAAGGTCCTTGTGGCCGGCTGCCACGTCCTGGCCGCGCCGCCACCGCGAGGTGGCGGATCGTAGGCTTCGGAAAACAGGTGCGGGGCGTACGGCTGTTTGTGAGATCTTGGCCACAGTAGGGTCCCCTTTATCTCGTCCTTTTGTTCCAGGTGATCCGGTGCTCCGTCTTTCTACGACCTGGCAGCCACCAGCCCGCGCTGAGCTGGACGATGACATTGAGCCTTAGCTGCTACAGTGCAGAACACCGCGCGGTTTCTAACTTCCGGGAATGTGCAACGTTCCCACTTTAGTTTTGGTGCCCCGCTTCTGTCATGAGTAGTGAGTGCTGCAGAGTTGCCAGTTCCATCCATTATCAGTACAATTCTGGTCTCTGGTTCCTCTACTATAAGCAGCTGTTCTGATGTTGATGTCTGACGTCCTCCGCATCCCAGGAGCGCTTGGACGGAGACGACGACGAGTTTGACTAGCAGATGTGCTGAGAGTGGCTGTCGTCCTTTTCACTGCGCTCTGCGGTGCTGGATGAAAGAAAGCGTCGAGAGAGGTGTACATAGGGTGTCATGTTTTTTTTGCAGGTGGTTTCAGTTCAGAGGCGTTGGCCCCTTGGGGTTACGGGGATGCATGTATCTTGCAAAGAAGGTGGAGTATAAGCCCACTGTTCACCAGGGTAAGTGAAGCATCGCCGTTCCTCGCAAGATAAGCGTGCACGCATGATGCTACGGCCGTGTCAAAGTTTACCGGGAGTGGGGCGGCCAAAGCACAACAACAAATCTTGCTTGAACTGCGAGGCTCTACAGGTTCACGCCCTGCCCCTAGCCTTCTTCAACTCCAGTTTCAGGCTCATGACTCCAGTTCCGGGCAGTAAGTGCCAAGAGCTTTGATGTCTCAAAATTCGAGTGGAATCTTGCAGGGCCTTAGAGCCGACCCAAGCTTTTCATTTGCTGTATACCACCGAAGAATTCCCTGAAAGCCCTTTGAAAGAGATCCCAAGTTGCTTGTCTCCTGTGATATGCCTCCCCACATGCTCGGATCTCTTCGGGAAGGCACCCAACGCGTCCGATCCCGGAGCCCTTGCCGCCCTCGAACTGAACAGCTTAAACCTGGGAAACCTTAGATCTTGTAGGACATTGACACGAAGCGTCGTCGAGCTGACGGGCTGAAGCGTGGGGGGTCAGGGCGAGTCTTTGCGGCAACCCTAATCCTAGAAGTGCGAAGCCGAAAACCTCGAATTTAAGCACGCTCTGGTTGTGGGTACATATCCAAGGTCGGTGAACGGACGGAGAGCAGCAAGAGCGATGCTCTGACCGGAGTATGTGCAATGATGCGCAACGTATAGCGTCTCCCGGATAGCCCTTCAGCGCAACTGCTGTCCACAGCATTGTTCCTGCGTGGAGAACAGGCACAGTGCGGAAAAAGTCCTAGACTCCTGAGCAAGAACTGATTTTTGTTATTTGAAGATCCCTCTATGGATGTCAGCGCGGCATTTGTCTCAGCATGTTTCATGAATGGAGAGCTGCACAACCTAGCCCTGTTTGTCCCGACAGGCCTGCTCCGTGCTTCTCCACCCCTGTTCAGGTTCAGATACCTCGGGCGCCAAGCCAACTGAACCCCCAACCGCAACCCAAACAATTGGGCTGCGCAGGTCCCTTGCTGCCCGCCGAAACATTCAGCAGAAAAAAAAGAGAGTTGGCATGAAGTTTGGAGCTCGGGCTCACAGAAGGCTGCAGGGACACCTTGGGGAGCTTCGGGTTACGGGCTTAGGGCGGGTGAGGTCAACGAACGATTTGGGCTTGGGTCTTAAATTGTCTTACATAGCGTAAACCTTGGCCCCGTTCCTCGAGGTTTCGGACAGGTTCACGGTGCCACTACTCGTTTCCCAGACTTTGGAAGCAGACCTTACCACATTCTGCGAACAAAGGAGCCCCTGTGGCCCGACTGCCGCGATGTTGACGCTTGCTTTGGTGAGCTAGAAGTGGGCGACAAAATGCGACAAAGAAATGGGAAAACGATCCAGGCCTCAGGGCTGAGAGTTTGACCAGGGACTTATGGGTGGAGGCAGCCTTGTCCCCAACCGGAGATCAAGCCTTCGGCCACCATTGACTTAGGTACGTTGGCTTTAGGGGTTGATTTCTCTCTCTCGGTTTCCCTTCACTTCAATGTAGCCTCAAAAGAGGGCTGCATGCTCTAGACTCCTGGGAGAGGAGAGCAGTAGTTGTTCACAGCGGGGGGGATGCCTCTTCCCGACACCTCGACACCCGAAACCCTCCAAACACCCGGCCTCGAATCCTCAAAGTCCACGTCAGACTGTCAGAACCCACCATGATGTTCTTTCTCTTCTCCTTCCGTTGCATACAGTGCGGGGCCTGATTCAAGATTTAGGGTCCGAGTTTGGTTTCTCGGATGAATAAGTCTCCTCCTTCTCGTGCAAAGAAGGCTTCAATTTGTATCACTAACACGTGCCATAAGTGTGCTAACTGGGAAGTCATTTGGCTTTGCGCGCGTGCACATGTAGCGTAACAAGCTTGATGACTTGTTGGGCTAGTAAGGGCTCCAGGGTCTTGCGAGTTTTTGGGGTGTTGAGCCTTTGCGATGGCTCGCTTAGCTCCCACGTCGCTGTCTGTCGCGCTCGGGCGCCCGGGCGTTGGACAAGGCCATGTTCAGGATGTTGTGAAATTAGACTGTGTAAGTACGAGGTGCTACGTGCTATGTTCGGCAAAACTTGTTGCACGTCTCCGCTTTGGCAACGTAATGCCCGGCTGTCTCGCTCTTCGCTTTATCTCGGGGTTCCTCGGTGGGGCTGAGTGCCTGCTACCCAGTGCCTTTGTTCACACTTCTCGGTCTTACTGAACTTGTGTATATGCATGCATGCATGGATGTATATATGGTTCTGTGAGGTAGTGATTATGCAATGCATGTATGTATGTATGTATGTATGTATGTATGTATGTATGCATGTACGTATGCATGCATGTACGTATGTATGTATGTATGTATGTATGTATGTATGTATGTATGTATGTACGCATGTATGCATGTATGTAACCAACTATGTATGTTATAAAGATACACCGGCAGAGGAGCGATAGGTAGGTAGGTAGGTAGGTAGGTAGGTAGGTAGGTCGGTCGGTCGGTAGGTAGGTAGGTAGGTAGGTAGGTAGGCAGGGAGGTAGGTAGGTAGGTGGCTAGGCAGCCAGGTAGACAGACATATACATAGACAGATAGATAGATACATAGATAGATCTAGAGGTTCTTTCGGCCCCCGTACCAACAAAAGCACCAAACTCGAAGCAGTGAAACGATGCGGGAGCTCTCACCACCGGTATTAACTGCGTGTCGTCCTTTTGTACAAGGCCCCTCTCCACAAACTGTCTCAAACCATTTGTGGATGTCAGCACACTCAGAAGACCTTTGGTGACGGTGAAAAGACTTGGGAAGCAGTGCACATGATGTTCTGAGCTATGACTTCTGATCCTTATGACTTATGATACAAGAATGTTAGGTTATAGAGACTCATACCAGCGTCCCGCACTGTGGATTAGGACGCAGTCTGCACAGCCCTGAATCCCAACCCAAGCCCCACAGTTAAAAATCGTAAATCCGAAGCGTGACGCCTCGTTTGGCTTGTCTGCGATGTGAGAGCGTGGATCCCGAAACCCCGAACTGACAGCCTAGACCCTAGAACATCCACGACACCCAGCCTTGAGTCGAAGAAATGCTCAGTCGCCACTCCCTTGCTGCGGCTGGCTCCGTCTTTGCCGGCCACAGCGCAGGCGATGCAACCCCCGTTTTGTCAACGTCCTACTTTGGATCTCGGGTTTGGGTATTTTGTGTTGAGGTTTAGGTTTCCTATTGGGGTTTGGGGCCTTCAGTGACTTTCCGGTACACGGTGTTGGTTGGGGGTTCGCGTGGGCCACTTGGGTCTACGATTCGGGTTTTCTATGGGAGTGTCTGACCCATCTTTGGCAAGTGGCTTGCATGGTGTTAGTGTAGCTTTGCCCGAACCCACACAGTCCCCCACTAAACCCAGAACACAGTCGGCAAAAGCCTTTCCAGCAGTCTCAAGCGCCGAAGCCTTACATGCTGAACTGGTAACGTGAACCTGGCTCGCCACATCCTCGCCCTAGGCTCGAAGTGCCTTCGGAACATTAATTTGGTGGCTAGTTGAAAGGCTACAGCGGTGCTGAGTCAGGTTCGGGCTGAAGATTGGGCTGAAGGGGCTGTTTTGAATGAGGTCAATCGTCTCCGTACGAGGTTTAGCATCTGTAGGACTAGCAGCTGTCAGAAACGAGGGTCCATCGCACGCATCTTTGGTATAGAGAACTACTTAGGGAAATTCTGTTCAACCAGGATTCTGGGAGGTAGCTGGTTTAGGGCAACCCCACCTCTCTGCCATCGACTGCTTTTCCATGTTTGTTTCTTCTAGGTGCAGATGAAGCCGAACCCTGTTAGAAGATGGTAGCTCTTCAGTCGTCCTAATCAATATATCACTACGCCATGGCAATGTCATGCTCCTCGCCGGTTTTAACTACGTATGGCTCGTCGACACTGTCCTGCCAAATCATGCGGTTGCAAAGGCGAAATATCATTCCGTTCAGGACGGTTGCAATCCAATGTTCCTCCAATCGTCCCTCTGGCGACCAAGATTATGACTGAGATTCACAAAAGTTCAGCGAGCATGGTCAACAACCGCTCGACCTGCATGTCATACGCTTCGATCCTCAAGCCACACTGAGAATGGCATAAATGCGATCTCAAGCCCCAAATTCCCGAGGACTCCGAGTTCCTAGCGCTGAAAAAACTGCCGGAGTCCATTGTTTCTAGGTCTTCATGCCCTTCAGTTCCATGTCGTCACAACTTGAAAACCTGGTGCCCCCGAACGACGGCCTAACACAGGTCCTGACCGATCGCTCCTGCAGCCCCGCACGGGTGCTGCTGGCAACTTCAGCGGTTTGGGCAGGGGCACGGCGCACGAGGCCCTCGTCTGGCATTCCCTTTTGATAGGGTGATCATAGTCACGACGATTGTTCATTGCAAGTTTGTTCATCAGTGTCTTAGGGTTGAGGGGCGATCCTTCAAGCTTAGTAAGAACCTGCGGTTATTTTATCTGCAGGGTGCGGAGATCAGTACTGCGAACGTGAGTCCGGCGTCGTGCTTGGAGGGGACCTAAAGCCTGGAGACTAACTCTAAACGATAAATCCAAGCAACAAAGCATTAATTAAGATAATGAAAGTGCCGCCCCTTCGAGCCTTGGAACTCCTGTGGCGTTGTGACATCCGACTCAGGGTCAGCTTTTGGTGGGCTCTTGTGGTTTAAGGGTTTCGGGTTTTAGCATTAGGCTAGACTTGAGCCCTACGCCGAAATATTGCGTCTCCCAATCACCCGACAACCCCGAACCCCAGAGTAGCCCTGGGTATGTTTCAGACTCCGCGTGTTGGGGTTTCTGTGCCAGTCGATGCTGAGGGTTTCGCAGGGCGTGGAACATCGCGAGTGTTGTTTGTGCATGGCATGACTGCACCTGAAACCGTCCGCTCGTCAGCTGCAGCAAGAGATGTAGCATCGCACCGTTCCATAAGTTGCTCTCCAGCCGTGGCCATCTGGAGCTCGCAACGAGACTGCTATTGCGAACTGGGCCCCCTGCACTAAGCCTCAGACCTAGATTGGTTGATGCCCCGACCCCCTCAACTTCATGAATCCGGTGTCGCTTTCCCCAGCTTTCGGGGCGTGAACATGTGAAGGTGATTAGCCGCTCCGAAAGTGCAGGTTATACATACCCGTCAAGTCACGAAAGCTCGCGTAGCAGAGCTTGAGTTTAGTCCTGCTTTTAGTAGGGAGGCAGTCCAGCGCCAGAAACCAGCGTATTATTGATAGTATCAATTTAGGGGGGGAGGGGGGGGCTAAATTGAACGGT